TCAAATTCTGTCCTTTCTTTGTAACTGTCTTACAGTTTTCTTTTGGGAAGACTTCTCAGATTAATGCTGTTAATCCATTAGCAACTCTTCTAGACATCTCTCCAAAGCGCTTGTATTTGTTTATAAATTTCTCTTTGCGTGCTCTTAGTAACCCTGTGGTAATTTCTCCAAGCAGACTGTAAATTCTCTGTGACTGTAAGTTTCATCTTTTCTCTGAGAAAGCTCTGGAGTATTACACATGTAACCGTGCACAGGGCACAGCCTTTGCCAGTGCTCACTATGCTCTGTTTAGGTGGATGAAACCTCTCGGCGTTTAATTTGGGAAAAAAACCTGAAGCATATTTCCATCCATAATCTTGAGGCCGCTCTTGGTGTCCACACGTATGAACTGGCCATGAACCACTTGGGGGACATGGTGAGTTGAGCCTGAGCTCCTGGCCGACCTGCCATTTGCCCTAGTTTCCTGCTTATGCCTGGCCTCTTTCTTTTTTTGTCCCAGACCAGTGAAGAGGTGGTTCAGAAGATGACTGGACTCAAAGTACCCCCGTCTCGCTCCCGCAGTAATGACACCCTCTATATCCCGGATTGGGAGGGCAGAGCCCCGGACTCCGTTGATTATCGAAAGAAGGGCTATGTTACTCCCGTCAAAAACCAGGTACCCTCCTGTCTCCTGGGAACGCTGTCTGAGCTGGCACCAGCTGCACTTACTGCTGCTGCTTTGCTCCTAGGCAGGAGGGCACCAGGAACTAAGGTGCCTCTCTCCCGGCTGAGAGAGCACAGCCTATTCCATCGCCATTTAACTCATCTGCTGTTTTTGTACATTTAGGTTGTTTCTGGTTTTTCTTTTTTACAGTGTTGCTGTAAGCACACCTGTGCACGTGTACAAATATTTATGCAAAATAAATCCTAAAATTAAAATTGCTAGGTCACAGAGAATCCTTTTCAAAGAAGTTTTTGCATTCTTACTGGCATGAGAATATTATTTTTCCCATAACCTTAATAATGCTGATTGTATCATCCAGACGAACAACTGATTTAACATTCATTCATCAAAAACTTTTTTTTTTTCAGAATCTACCAGGTGTAGTGCTAGTAGTAGAGATTCAAGATGACTAAGACATACTGTGTGTTCAAGAAATCCTCAATCTTAAAAAACAAAACGGGAAAGAAAATCAATTTAGCTGAACAAACACTTTTTGAGAGGTTATTATGTATCAGAAATTTGTAAACCTAGGACAATGGAACAAATATTAAATGAAGGGAAACAGGAAGACTTCATAGCAAAGGGGACACGTGTGCTGGGATTTATAAAATGGGTGGCATTTCGTCATGCAGGTAGGGGAAAGCAAAGCGTGAAGGGCGATGACTGATAATTTCTCTGCTCTGCGCTCAGGGTCAGTGTGGCTCCTGCTGGGCTTTCAGCTCGGTGGGCGCCTTGGAGGGCCAGCTCAAGAAGAAAACTGGCAAACTCTTGAACCTGAGTCCCCAGAACCTGGTGGACTGTGTGTCTGAGAACGATGGCTGTGGAGGGGGCTACATGACCAACGCCTTCCAGTATGTGCAGAAGAACCGGGGCATCGACTCCGAAGACGCCTACCCGTACGTGGGACAGGTGAGACTGCCCGACCGTTACACAGCTCTGTGCCGGCTCCTTCCTCCCCAGCATGATAGTTTGCACTGGGAACAATTCTAGAAATCTTGTTTTCTGTCACCTTATCCTGCTTTCTTGATGGGATAATTACCCACAGAAGGCCAGATTCCCTCACTCTGAGAGAGTTTGGGGAACTTAGCCTAGCACAGACTGTCTGCTTCTCTGCACTGGAGAGAAAACGGAGGACAGGTTGGTTATTCCGTAGATCTCCTAGTAGGTCTCTGAAACCCTCTGCTCAGCTCTTCCAGTCTCATCACAAATCCCCACACCTACCATGCTAATTTCATGAATCATGTAGCTTTGTTTTGTATGTTCTCATGGGTTTGGGGAGCATTTAAACAAATTGTATAAAATGTGAGAAAAAACAAGTTGCCTCATACTTGTAATTTTAGAGATTAACTCACTTCTTCCTATAAGATCCTTTAGCAATAAGAAGGAGATCTTTCTCAAAAGAAGATCTGAGGGCTTTTCATATACTTGGGGTCAGCAGATAATGTCACATGGGGCCTTTGGAACAGGAACCTTTGAAGGAGAAATAGCAAGTGTGAGTAATAAAGATGGCAGCTGTGATGTGCTAAGCCATGTGCTTGTGCATTTTCTATTTAATCCTCATAACAGCCCTGCAAGGTAGACTGACTTATCTTCACTTTATAAGTGAGGAAATTGACACTTAAGGAGATAAAACAGTATACTCAAATTCATACCAATAGTTACTAGCAGAGCCAAGATTCATCTATTAGATCTGTTTGTCTGCTGCAAACATTGCCAGGCATGTCTTCTATGCACATGTGCAAGAATTTCTTTACTAGACTATAACACCTTGGAACAGAAATGTCTGAGTCGTAGGGTACATGCGTCTTCAACTTTACTAGATAATGTCAGATTGTTTACTAAAATATCTGGAAAAATTTATATTCTCACGGGCAGTGTATAAGAAATTCCATTGATTCATATCTTCATTAGTACGTTCACCTGGCCATTTGTATTTCTTCTTCAGTAAATTGACTGTTTATATCTTTTGCCCATTTTAAATTAGGTTTTCTCTTTCTTACCGATTTTTAAGAATTTTTAAAAGATATTTGGATACTAATACTATGTGTGTTGTAGGTTGGTGTCTGTCTTTTCACACTATTTATGTTTTTCAATCTGGAAAAGTTTTTAATTTTAGTGTAGAAAAATTATTAAATTTTTCCTTTGCACTTTGTGCCTTTAAAAAACTCCAATAGCAATGAACGTTATTTATTCATGTTTAGTCATCGGAAATGACGTCTGCTGCAATAAAATCCTCGTTAATGTACATGAGTACATTAACTAATGAGTATCCATTTCACTGGATACTCAACAACCTATATAGGAAAGTCATTTTAACACCTCCTCATGACACTGGCCACATCAAAACAGTACTTTGTAAATTTCATCCCATTATCATTCCATGTTATGGTTTTTTTAGCTGTCAAGTATACAAGGCAGAGAAGTTGCAGTTTGTAGCTGGAAAACATTTTCTTTAACTCGCATACAGTTTTCACAACTGCTGGGTCCCAAGTCCATGTTTGAACTCTGGGGCTGCTACTGTAAGACGCAGCATACTGAAGCTGCTCTAACAGATTAGCTTTTTAATTCTGAATACACCCAGCCAATTAGTGAGATAATCTGAACTTGGCAAAATATTCTCTTTTAAATTGTCAAATACTCTTTTGACAACTTTTTGTCATCACTTGATATCAAAAAATTAAATCCCAACAGTATATACAGAAAACAAATTTATGTTTATATATTTTTTCATATCGATTAATCCAGGCACCCGATTTAAGTTTGTATAACTGAACTATTTTAAAGAAAAATAAATACTATCAGAACTAACAGTTGATCACACATCCATGGACAGTTTGCATAATTTATTCAGTATTGTATTAACCAGTTTGTTGAGAGATAGTTTAACTAATAGCTCAGACTCCGAATAATTAAAGTGAAAATTACGTAATATTCAAAACCCTATTTTGGAATAGAAGGAGCATTTGACTTCTCCTCCCTCAGATGATTTCTTCAGCACTTTAGAGTAATGTGGAATGACTTTGATTTCATAATCAATTAAAATGACAATTAGATTCAGTTTTAACATTCTGAATGTTGAGCAATTGTTCTCTTGCATCTATGTACTTTACAGTTTTTAAAAGCAGTTATTGTCCAAAACCGAAAGAACTTCTCACATGGACGTGTGAATGAATGGAGGGAGGTAAAGAAAAATAAAACTTAACTAGGAAGAGATCCATATGTAGGGCTGCTAGCAGCCAGATAATATGGTGATTTAAGTTCATTCCAGCCATAATGTAGGTTACTCTGACTTGAAAGTATCATGGCATAATGTCCCTCTGCATCCACTCCCTAGATAGTTTATTTTACTTGTAGATCTGTGCAATCTTTGGCACCAGGAGGCATCAAGGGTTCGGATGGCATGGCGGAGAACTAAGGAATCCTGAGACATTATTAAGACAGGATATCATGTAATCTTAGACTATCGTGTCAAATGCTGCAATTATTGTTAATATTTAGATAATGTATTATAGATGCAACTTTAGGGTTTTGAAGGGGTGGTCCATAGGAAAATGAATTACCAAAAAAATATGCCACCTTCACACTGGCGGCCATTAGATTCTGTAATTGTGGCTTGCCAGCGAAACATGTCATTGCTAACTAGACCTGCAAAATACAGTGTTGGAAATTTACAGACTGAATTGCTAAGTTCTTTACTAATTTCTTTTCACATCAGATTGTGTGATTTTACTTCTGTCTCTCGCAAGAGCACGGGGTCCATCCAAAGCTGTGCCTCACGCTGGCCCCCCGGTAGGTGTGCACGGGCTGGTCCTCTCGCAGCCTGGCCGTGGCGCCCCCTCCACGCAGCAGCCGGTGCCTCCCCGCTCTCCCGGCTCACGTCTGGCAGGGCCAGAAAATGATTTGTGCTTTTAAAAAAACCTTATCTCAGAAATCTTTCTCTACATTGGGGTAATGAAAATATTCTCTCTCTCTCTCTCTCTCTCTCTCTCTCTCTCTCTCTCTCTCTCTCTCAGGTTTTATAGTGTTTGCTTTCACATTTGTTTCAGAATCACCTGGAACTGACTTTAGTGTACAGTGCAAGGTATCCGCTTTTCAGATTCTTTTTTACAGTTGTCTGAAATGGCGAGGCGAGAACAGGCCCTCTCTAGAGACCCCAGTCGGCCGCCCGTTAGTTCATGGACATCACGCAAAACATTGGTAGAGGTCCTCACTCAGCAGCTCATTGCCTATTTCAACCTTTTTTTTCCAGGATGAAAGTTGTATGTACAACCCAACGGGCAAGGCAGCTAAGTGCAGAGGGTACAAAGAGATCCCTGAGGGGAACGAGAAGGCCCTGAAGAGGGCGGTGGCCCGAGTGGGCCCCATCTCTGTGGCCATCGACGCAAGCCTGACCTCCTTCCAGTTTTACAGGAAAGGTAGGGAGCTGCTCCGGCCGGTGAGGCGCTAGCACCCGGCTCTTATGACAGGCCGGTGGCTCCTCGAGGGCACTGAGCATTTTTAGGACTTAGTTCCATAGTCAGACTGTCTGCCAGAGAGAAACCAACAGCTGCCAGAGCATGAAGCGCCTGTCATCAGCGCTGCTGACTGGGACAGGATTCCACACAGGGTCCGCTAGCGTGGGAGACCCCAGCACATCCCTTGGGTTGCAGAAAGTTTCACCTTGATTGATTGTCTCCTAGGTGTGTATTACGACGAGAACTGCAATAGCGATAATCTGAACCATGCGGTTTTGGCAGTGGGATACGGGATCCAGAAGGGAAGGAAGCACTGGATAATTAAAAACAGGTAACGACAGGAACACTGCATGTGTCCCCCAGGCACCCTCTTGACACTCAACTGCAACTCCAACTTCCCAGCATTCCTCTCTCTCTCAAATCAAGAGAAGGTTGTCTCCGACTTTTCAGTTCTAACTCCCCAGTCAGAGGCTATTCTAACGTTTGATGGCCGGACAACAGCACCCAAAGTGTGTGTTGGGCAGCTGCTGTGTGCCAGGTGCTTAGTCACAAAGGAGCAGGACGTCTGCCCCCGGTGGTCTCACAGCCCCTGAGAAAGGCACACCTAGCTAACCAGAGCACGAAGCAGCACCAGGAACCAGGAGCTTGGGAACTAGATCTGTTTTTCTTTCTTTTTTCTGTGATGTGATCGATTTCTCAGGCAGGTTTCCATCATTGGTCTGTCTGTGAGCAGCAGGGGACAATGGAAAGGCTTAATATCCCCTGATGCAGTTTTTGCCCTTCTAGATGCACTTAGGATAGACACGTGTATCAGAACTGGCTGAAGATTTTGAAGTCTGTGGAGGAAAATGCCTTTCAGAAAGTAGATGTAAACAGCAACAAGAAAAAAGTGTCTCCTTCCCTAATATTGGGAACAAATAAAACTCCAGGGCTCCTCGGCTCCCTTGTGACTTTGGGGGGCAGATTTAGGAGAATTACACTTGTCCCTCCTCAGTGGTCAACAGTACTGGTTAAATTCTCTGTCCTGGGTGTCCTCCAAGGAGCAAGGGTCCTAGACTCTGGAGAGTTCACAGACCAAGGCCCTGGTGTGACCTGGAGGGCTGGCAGGATAGACCGTGACACTGGGAGTTACTTCAAAGCAACTTTTTATATCACAGTCCCAACTAAGGGTGAACCGGAGCTCTTCGCTAAGGCGGCGTTCCTTCTGCCACAGCTTCTGTCCCATGTTTTCCCTTTCTTGGCTCCCAGCCCCACGCACGCACCCTGCCCTTTCTTATCAGGTGCAGAGGGCAGAGGTGTGTCCAAGAGAGCTGGGTGGAATAAGGGACACACCCAGGCAGGATCAGGATCACTGGAGAACCGCGAGAAGGGAACAGGGACAGGGTAGAGATCTTACGTAAAATGTGTTGGGTAACTGGAGAATTTGCTTTTTGAGGAAAAAGGACAGAAAACTCATGAAAACAATTTAGGAAGAAATATAGACCCATCTCCCGCCGCGCACGCATCTTTTCCTCTGGTCTTCCGTTCTCTCCGCTGCCTTAGCAATCCCAGCCGTTCTCATAGCTTCATTCGTCTCGCCGGTAGGTTTTACTCTGGAACCAAGCCCAGCTTCGGCCTTTCTTGCCTGTTTCTTATGCTCTAGGCTCATGTTTTCCAGATTACGGTTCCTAAAACACGAATCAGATCATGTCACTCCCAGTCAGAGGCCTTCTGTGTCTGCTCCACTGTGACGGGCCACAGAGTCAAACTCTAGCCTGGCAGTAAAAGTGACTCAACCCGATGCCTTTCCAGACATCCCTCACCGCACCCTGTCAGGCACCCTGTTGTTTCCAACCACATGATCTTCACACGTGTCCTGTGCTTTCCCGCCTCTGTCACTCATTTCACACCCCTCCGCTGGCATCCCCTTCCCACAGGTCCATGTTCTGTCCAGCCTTCAGGCTCAGCTCAAATGGCACCTCCCACTTTAAGTCTTTGTCGATCCTCTTGACCAGAAGCAGTCTGTCCTGGCTTGGGGACCATAGCATTGTGCCCTCTCTCAGTTTCTTGACCTTATAAACTCTTTAAAGGTAAAACTGCCTTGCTCACTTTCGTATACCATCAGTGCCGAGCATAGCACTCAGTGGCTAAGTGACTGAGGGTACTGAGTATTTTTCTTGGTTGGTCCCACAGCTGGGGAGAAAACTGGGGAAACAAAGGCTATGTCCTCATGGCTCGGAACAAGAACAACGCTTGTGGCATCGCCAACCTGGCCAGCTTCCCCCGGATGTGACCTCGGCCCGCCCTACCTCTTGCATTCCTTCCTCGATGGTGCAACATAGCGGTGTGCTTTGGAAGGGAGTCGTGTGCCTTTCTTGAAGCAGATGTAGCAATACGGAGGTTGTCATTCAGGCTCCCCATTCGTTGTTTCTTCAAGGGACACTCCTCCTACTTTCCTTCTTTCCAGCCAAGGCCTTTATTTTCCATTGCGGCTGCAGTAGGAATTTCACTGACTGGTGTGCATTCTTAGGCTACGAGATGTGACCATAGCCTGCCCAGCCACGTTGACCTGGGGCTGATGTTGTGCAAATAGCTGGAGGCCAGGTTCTAATTCACGGAACCTGCTTAGCTTTGACCTCTCTACAGACTAAGGTGACCTGAGTCCTCAGTCTCCAAGTTCACGTCTTCTATATCCCAAGGTAGAAATGTCTCTGTTTTGTACCCCAGTTCACAAATGTACTCATACATTTTTGGTACAAGTTAACATGATACAAGAAATGTATTTTCTTTTTCCTTCTTTGCATTTTTTAAGTAAACCAAGTATTTATCTCTTGTCTATAACTTAATAAATAGCTATTTAGTAACCACTCATTTTGTGTTGGATACTGTGTGAGGTTCCCTGAGATAAAAAGGTGAATAAAACATATTCCTTATGCTTGATGTGCTCATAGTTTGTTTGGAGAGACTGTCACAAACAAGTCGTCTTAATTCATTTCTTTATTCATTCCTTTACCCAACATTTATGAAGTGCTCACTCTGGACTAAGAACAGTACTAAATTTCAGGGATTAAATGGATATAAAGAGACCTCAATATTTAATTCCATTTTGGAGGGACCAGATTAAGTGACACATAAACCTCGGTCTTGAAAAATATCTTAAGGCCCTCTGAAGTTCTAGAACCTAAACTTTTGCTGTTAACAAAAGGGGAAATGGAAACTCTTTATAATGGTTTCCAAGCAGTATTAATTTGAGCAAAACTTAGCCAGCTAATAAATAAGCAGCTGACAGCTGCTTTTACCATTTTCCACAAAACACTATTACCACTAGGAAGAGTTCACATTTATTGAATGCTAACCATGTGTCAGGCATTATTTAATTTCATTCTATGCAAAAATTATTTATTTTTGTGCGTGAATATTTGTTACCAGGTGCTATGCAGTTTAAGAGAATGAAACATTAGTGAGACACGGCCCTGACTTCAAGAATGCTATAGACTAGTGACAGACATAAAACAACTAATAATACCAACCATAATGAAATAAATACCAATTATTGCAAGTTCAAGAGTGAATCATTAACTCTTCATGGGGTTTTAGATGAGGCTTCATTGAGAACAAAGCTTTGAAAGGCCTGAATGGGCAGAGAAGAGAGGGGTGGGGAGCGGGCTGGGAGGAGGGAGGGCACGTGAGGCCGAAGGTTCTGGGTGAACACACCATTCACCGTGTGTGTGAATGCTGAGGTTTGGGGTGGCTCAAATACAGGGTGCAAAGGCACACCTGATAGAGCTGAGGTGAGAAAAGGAGGTTGGAGGTGAATCCCGGAGGGCCTTGAATGCCCCCCATGTCCCAAGAAGTTCATACTTTAATTTTTTAGACACACAGGCTTTAGTAGGCATAAAATATTTTTGAGCAGATCTATATTTTAGCAGTACTCCTCTGGCAGTGGTGTAAGAGCAAATAACAGATGAAGAACAAGATGGAGATGCAAGAAACTGGAGGAAAGTCAACACTTAGGAGGTATCGTACATACTCTTTCAAAGAAGGATACTTCACAGAAGAATGACTCCTGAACTTTTTGGAAGCTCGAGATGAGTTTGGCGGATGGAGAGGTGAGCAAAGGCATTCCAGACCCAAAGAATAGCATATTCAAATGTGTGGGCAGGAGAGGGCACATTTATCGATCTGCAAGTCATTTTTGTTGAGTTTCAAAAGAACCAAAGACAAGTTTGAGAGATGTCTGACGCCCCACTAGGCAAACCTACACAGTTCTGTTCTTTTGATCCAAGATTTTTTTCCTTCTACCTAAAGAACATCTTTCAGAGTTTCCTTTTGTATGGACACGTGTGCAACAAATTTACTTGATTCTTACATGTATTTGGGTTTATCTCTAGATTTCTATTCTAGTACATTAATATGTATATCTATACTTGACCAGAAGCACACATTTATAATGTGCTTTAATATCTAATAGGGTTAGTCTTCCTCTTATGACTCTCCTTTTCTAGACTTTTTCCCTGAATATTCTTGCTTTCTATTTTTTCCATCTAATCTTTAAAATCAGCTTGTCAAATTATCAAAAGCCCTGCAGGTATTTTTATTTTGATAACATTAAATTTATATCCTAATTAGGAAAACTGACTTCTTTATACCACTGAATCTTCCCATCTAAGAATAAGAGATGCCTTCATATTTTTTCAAGTATTCTCTGTGCCCTTCTTATAGATATTGCTCATTTCTTGCTAACCTTTCTTTTTAGGAGTTTATCTTTTATTATTTATATATTTCTTTGCAGTTAAATGGGATCTTTTCCAATATAATTTCTAATTAGGCATGTCTTAAAAGCTATTGATTGTTATATTCATTTTTGTACTTAACTACCTTTGCTTGAATTTTCTTTTTGTTTATGTTTTTCAGTTGATTCACTTGGATTTCTTTGAGTATAAGTGTATCATCCACAGAGGTAAATTTTACCCCTTTCTTTCTGATTTTTACCTCTAATTTATTTCTTGTCTGTTTGCATCAGTTAATACCTCCAAAACGATGCTAAGCAATAGAGTTGATAGATCTCAACCTAGAAACATGATTATTTCTATAGATGCATAAAATTCTACTGTAAATATCTACACAATTTATTTAACTAAATCTCAATAAATCAACACATTGTTTCCAGTGTTCTCAGTTACAAATAATAATATAATCCATGGTCGATATTTTGACACCAGAAAGTGTTTAAATAATACGATCAAATCTATCAATCAGTAAATAATTTTAATTTATTTCATAGTAACATTTTCTAACATTTATTGAGCTTTACTATGCAGCCCCTGCCGTGTCAAATGCTCTAAACACAATCCCCTTATTATCGCCATACCAGAGACCAGATACCTTACCCAAGGGCACCTCGCTGGGAAGGAGCTGAGCCGGCACTGAGACCCAGGTCTTTTTTGTTGTTTTTCTATCTCCTTTTATAAATTTTATTATATTATTTTAACTTTATGTTATGTAACATTTTAAACATTTAAAAGAGAGAGAGAGAATGAAGCTCATGTGCCCATCATCCAGCTTGAACAATTATCAACATTTTCCAAACTTTTTTACCCCTCCTTATTTTCTTTTTTAGTATTTTAAAGCAAATCCCAGATATTGTTTTACTCATAAAATACTCATTATGCATCTGTGAGTGAGGAATTTATTTTCACATTAGCATACCTAACAAAAGTAACAACTGTTTCTTAATAACATCTAATAGTCCATTTTAAAATGTCTCCAATTGTTTAAACATATCTTTTTACTGTTAGCTTATTCAAATCAGTATCCTATTTACACACTATATTTGGTTGTTAGTAAGTTTACTGTATTCTTTGACAGTTACCTCCCTACCTGCACTACCCCCAGATACACATACTTTCTATTTTTCTTTTTATAATTGATTTCAAGGAGAAACCAGGTCATTTTTCCAGCAGAATGTCCCATAGTCTGGATTTGGCTGATTGCTTGCTCCTTCTGAATCCAGTCTGAGTGGTCTTAACCACTGCAGTATGCTCTGTTTCTCACCATCCTCCATAGGTGGTGTGAGGAGGAAATACAAACTTAAAAGTGACAGCCCATTAAACTTCTGGTGGCACAGGTATTATAGAAATCCTGGCCAGTTTTATTCTTTTATAATATATATCCTTACTGAACTTTGATTCTCTTCTGCCCTTGAAAAGCCTTTATGAGTCATTGACAGGCTTCATTATACTTATAAGCTGAGTTTGTCCAAGGACTTCAGCAACCTAGTTCTTCACCTCCAGACATATATAGCCTAAAGGCTTGGTTTCCTGAGACTCTCTATATATAGATTTGACAAGGTAAAGATGCTGTGCTTTTGCAGGTGACAGGATTGTATATATAAAAAATTCTAAAGAAATAACTGAAAAACTATTAGAACTCATAAATGAGCTCAGCAAAGTTGCAGGGTACAAGATGAATATACAGAAGTCAATTTTATTTTTATACAGTAGCAATGAACAAAATGAAAATGAAATTAAGAAAAAGATTCCATTTACAATAACATCAAAAAGAATAAAATATTTAAGAACAAGTTTAAAGAAGTGCAAAACTTATACCCTGAAAGCTACAAAACACTGTTCAAGAAATTCAGGACATCTAAATAAATGGAAAGACATCCCATGTTCGTGGATTGGAAGATAATCATTAAGATGGCAGTATTCCACAAATTGACCTATAGAGTCGAAACAATCCCTATCAATTCCCAGCTGCCTTCTTTGTAAAAATTGACATAAAATTCATATGGACATTCAAAGGACCCAGAATAGCCAAAACAATCTTGAAAAAGAATAAAGTTGGAAGACTCACACTTCACAATTTCAAAACTTATTACAAACCAACAATAATCAAGACAGTGTATTACTGGCATAACGATAGGCATATAGATCAAGAGAACAGATTTAAGAATATGGAAATATCTCTTTCACTTATGTTCACTTGAATTTTGACAACGATGTCAATTCAATTCAATGGGAAAAAAATAGTGTTCTCAACAAATGGTGCTGGGACAACTGGATCACCACATATAAAAGAATAAGTTGCAATGCTACCTCACATCATATACAAAAATTAATTCAAAATGGTTTAAATATATAAATGTAAGAGCTAAAACTATAAAACTCTAAGAAGAAAACATAAGGATAAATCTTGGCTTTGTCTTAGATGTGACAAGTACAACCAACAAAAGAAAAAATAGATAAAATGGATTTTATTGAAATTAAAAACTTCTGTGCATCAAAACATCTGTTAAGAGACATGTGTGCATCAAAACATCTGTGAAAAGACAACCCACAGGATGAGAGAAAATATCTGCAAGTTACATACTGATAAGGACTTAGTATCCAAAAAATATAAAGAACTACAACTCAGCAACAACAAAAAAGCAATGCAAATATGGGCAAAGGACTTGAATAGTCATTTCTCCAAAGAGGATATACGAATGGCCAATAAGCACATGAAAAGATGCTCATCACTAGCCATTAGGGAAATACAAATCAAAACTACAAAACTTCACATCCATTACAAAAAATTGGAAAATCAAAAAATACAAATCAAAAAATACAAATCAAAACTACAAAACTTCACATCCATTACAAAAAATTGGAAAATAAAAGTGTTGAAAGGTCTTGGAGGAACTGAAACTTTGGTGCCCTGCTGCTGGGAATATAAAATGGCGCAATTGTTGTGTAAAGCAGTTTGATGGTTCTCAAAAAGTTAAACAATTACCATATGCTGAAGCAAGTCCACTCTAGATATATAGCCAAAAGAATTGAAAGCAGGGAACTCAAATGGACACTTGTATGCCAATGTTCTTTGCAGCCTTATTCACAACAGCCAAACACAGTAGAGAGAACCCAAGTGTCCATCAGCAGATGAGTGGATCAACAAAA